TGCTGGACAAATACCATGCTAGATTGTGCCAGCTGGCAAAGAACTGTGAATTTCACGACAAGGATTCAGAGATAAAATCACAGATAATTCAGCGATGCCAACTTATCAAAGTCAGGAATAAAGGATTGAGCGAACCAACGCTAACTCTGAAAGAGTTACTTACTTTTGGCCGAACACTGGAAGCAACAAATGTGCAAGCCAAAGCAATGTCTGGAGGTGTGGAAGTTGAGAAACCTATACATAGGATTGAGCATAAACCCCAGCAAAAATACCACCAACCACGTAAACCAAAGCGTGAAGGAAAACAAGGTAGCTATTCATCATCAAGCAAAACACAGCATCAGAGGTTACAAGATAATCGCAAGTGCTCGGGCTGTGGAGGTAATCATGGTGTAGGGAAACGTGATAAGGTATGCCCGGCCTGGGGAAAACAATGTCACAAGTGTCAGCGCATGAATCATTTTGCATCTGTATGCAAGGCTACAACTCCGCAACAAGCAGCTAAAACACATTTTGTACAAACCAAATCATCAGCAGAACATGAACTGACTATGCCAACAGATGAGTATGAATTGCCTTTATATAAATCAGATACCATAGGAAGTCATGTTAAACCGTATATGTGTACGGTCACTCTAAATGGCATACCAACAATGATGGAAATTGACACAGGAGCGACGACAAGCTTAATTAGCGAAGCACAATTTAAGCAGATACAATTAGGGAAATTGAACCTATCCCTGATAACTGAAGAGTTACCGAAGCTGCGAACCTATTCCGGAGAAATCATTCAGCCATTGGGCCAGGTGATGGTGGAGGTAGGTCACGAAAACCAAAATTATCATCTTCCACTTTTGATCATACCGGGTAAAGGTCCAAACCTGCTTGGAAGGGATTGGCTACAACGATTCCAATTAAATTGGTCAACAGTTCACAGGCTAGAAGGCAATGGGTTCAAAGAAATGTTCCCAGAACTTTTCAAAAAGGACCTTGGCACGTTAAAGAATTGTACGGCGAAGTTAAGGCTAGACAACGATGTGCAACCTCGTTTCTTCAAGCCAAGGCCTGTGCCGCACGCATTGCGCTCTAAA